GAGGAGCAGCAACAATGACGGCCCATTTGTGTGCTGGACTTCCATGGGTCACCATAGTGACCTGAACCACTGTCATTCACTACAGAACAGCACCGGAGCATGTGGGATCCTGCTCGAGTACGTAAAGCCAAAAACAGTGAGTTCCCCGCCGCCACGCACCTCTCCTGTCATTGCACAGGGAAAGACTGCTCTAAACAATAATCCCAACGCAATGAGTAATTTATTATTCATATCAAAATACCTCCATCGTATGAACACGTGAGAACACAAACTCAGCCACAAATGCAAACCATGAGGAAAATAATATAAATAGCTGAATACCTTTCAAGTTTTCCACACCTTCTCTTCATTAGAATAATACTATCCCCATCAATTTACACAAAGGAATGATTAAATAACCTTGACAATTCTCCTAATCACTATCAGCCTTAAATTGAAAAATAAATACTAATTGGCTTCAGCCCACATCGGTTGATTTCTGCTCTTCATACACGTTCCTGTCTGAAGCCTGCAGGCCCTTGTTTGGTGTGAGCTTTCCACTATAGAGCAGAAGGGAACAGGACCTAGAGATTTTTGAGGGATAGAAAAGCACGGCAGAGTCTTAAACCCAGAGTCCATGGAGAGAGCGGACTGACAGCTGCTGAATGGAGACCAGCAGCAGGTCGGATTTGGGGAGCAGCCGCGCACAGTTGGATCGCCAGAATTAGTTCACGTTTCTCAGCTGTAATGGGAAAGTCCTGTTGTTTTGACAATGGCGAGGAGCAGATCGGGCAAAAGGAGTCCTGTCAGAAAACACGGGGAGAGCTGTCCATCGCAGCCGTATGGGGAAGAGAAAGCCAAGAGTTTAAAAGAAATTTGTTCACTGTTTCTGTATCACTATTTACAAGAAGAGTGGTTTATCAGTGCCTTGCTTTTAAGTATCATGTTATAATGTTATGCTGCAATTTCAGTGTAAATGTATTCTTGTGTAGCCCTAAATCACAACACCAGGTATCTCCAAGGACTTACCAAGCTGTTGAATTTGCCAACACATATTTGATAAACAACAGATTAACACAAGAAATGCAAAGATGAAACACATAGAGCCATTGGTCCAAAAGGGGCAGACGTCCATAAATGTTGATAAATGTCCATACATTTTCTTTAATGTTGAGTGTCCTGTGTCAGTCTAACACAGACCCTCCTGCATCTGCAAGGGACAACTCCAAAACCCAGTGGGAAAAGGAGAGAAACCACATTGAGGGAGGGATCCACTCCCGCAGACTGACGGACTGTAGATCCAGGACTCAGGCTGTAGATCCAGGACTCAGGCTGTAGCTCCAAGACTCAGGCTGTAGCTCCAGGACTCAGGCTGAAGATCCAGGACTCTTGATTGCTTGGTGCATTTCATCAGGTACAGTTGCAGAGTGGTTAGCATTCTCGCCTCTCAGCAAGAAGGTCCTGGGTTTATAGCACAAAGCCTGTCTGAGTGGAGTTTGCATATTCTCCCTGTGGCTGTGTAGGTTCCCACTGGGTGCTCCCCTGGCACGATAGTTCCATACGGCCCAGAGTATGTAACTTTGAGACAGATGCCTGGTGGTGGCTCTGCGGTGACCGAACATGCATGTGATTTGATTGTTGGAAATCCATCCATCCATTTTCTTCCGCTTCATCTGTTGCCGGGTCACGGGGGCAGCAGTCTATGCAGAGATCCACAGATTCCCTACCCACACACAATTCCTCCAGCTCACCCTGAGATGTTGGAAATCGACTATCCAAAATTGATGATGCAGTAATCCTAACAATTTAAATAGAAGTGTATTTCCATGTATATAAGTTATAATAACTGTAAATACTCTGAGTCTGAGTCATTTCACTGCAAAAAGACAGACTATTCCACGCTGTCACATTAATTAGACAATGTGAGCATAAAGTGCGCTTGACATTTAGTCTCAGAAAAGAAAATTAATTACCTGACCCAGGGGGAAAAATCACCCATTTCAAAACCACATATACATTTCGAGTCATACTTTTTATTGCTGTATTTTCCATTCCATGAGCTGTGAGCCGTGCACACGACTTATTTATTGACCACGAAACAACAACCCGGGAACTTATCTATTTTGAATTACTCCGAGAAGCGCTGTATTGCTTTGGCTTCTCGTCTCTGTTTAGCCCAAGCCTGGTGTATCCACATGCAAACACTGTCATCAGAATAAAACATGGATCCCTTCAGTGTGTGTCATCATCAAAGTCTGCAGCGGTCCGCAGCCTCCTCCTGTGAGCACCGGCATCGTTCACTGCTGCTTCTCAACATTTCAGACGCAGGAAAACAAATATTATTTTACTCAACATAGACATTTTGTAGAGCTATAAGTGTGTTTCGAGAGACGACAGTGGCTTGGTCGGTAGAGTATTAGCCTTTGAGGTTGTGGGTTTTAGGCCTTCGCGAGACCTTCTCCACCAACTCCCACTGCTGTTGGCTATTGTTGTGTCCTTGGGAAAGACACTTAAAGGAGCTATATTAGTTTCTGCAAGGTTTGAATGTTTAGCACCGCCCTCAACTCGCTCACAGGCTTCTCATTTCCCCTACGCTCTCATCCCACGGAGCCATCTAGTTGTATTTGCGATCTGATACGTATGATAACATTAGCATGAGCACAACTTCTTGTAAGCTGTACAACAATCACTGATGAAATGGTACAAAAGCAACGCACTGCTAACACAATATATAACTGAAAGAATACCACTAGTTCCGTGTCCGAATGTAGTCAGAGCGTAGATAGTCCGAGCATAGATAGTCTGAGCATAGATAGTCCGAGCGTAGATAGTCCGAGCATAGATAGTCTGAGCATAGATAGTCCGAGCGTAGATAGTCCGAGCGTAGATAGTCCGAGCGTAGATAGTCCGAGCGTAGATAGTCCGAGCGTAGATAGTCCGAGCACAGATAGTCCGAGCGCAGATAGTCCGAGGCGGTCCCGCAGGTCTCTCCCATAGACAAGTCTCTCCAGAGGATACGATGTAAGCTAGCTCTGTTCAGGGCTTGATTTCTTCTTTGATCATTTTTCCGCTTTAGTTCCCTCTTCTCTTCTTCACTGTTGTGTGGTTTGGGCTGTTTTGCTGTGTAGTAAAAAGCATTTTTATGAACTCATTAGAAAAAAAATCTGGTATAACTTCTTTAACCCCACTTTGCCTGAAGCCCCCCCCCCCCTCAAGGCTGTACTGTCACTTACACAGAAGCCGTCCTCCTGTGGACCCAGCACCTGCAGGAGGATCAGTGAGGGGCTGGTGCTATGGGACTGGGATTATGGAAGAAGTAAATGGATGGATAATAATAATAATCTGTATTTGTATAGCACTTTTAAAAAACAATGTTTACAAAGCTCTGCACGGTCAGCATAATAAGCAATGAAACAGTCATAATACAAAGTCAAAATAATCAGATAGAATAGATACAGGAAGTCAAAGCAGACGGAGCCAACAGAAGAAGAAAGACACATAAAAGGCAAAGCAGACAGTAAAACACAAAATGGGAAGTAAAAAAAAAAAAAAGAGTTGCAGGTTGTTTCATAAAAGTGGGTTTTACTGATGGTGCTATAGCCTTATGGATAATTGTGTCTCAGGAGGAGCTCAGAGTGGAACCCTGATTCTGGCTCTCTAGCAACTCTGAAGCCTTGGGGTCCAGGCAAGTCAGGGAGACCCCGGGGAAGACCCAGGACACGCTGGAAGGACCATGTCTCTACTGCCCTGGGAAGAGGAGGAGGTGTGTGTGGATGAAGTCTGGGCGTCTCTGAAAGTCTCTCTCCCATGTGTAGTCCTGACTCTGGGACCAGCAGGAGGCCAGTCCCTGTGCTCCTCAGAGTCCCAGCAGGAGGCCAGTCCCTGTGCTCCTCAGAGTCCCAGCAGGAGGCCAGTCCCTGTGCTCCTCAGAGTCCCAGCAGGAGGCCAGTCCCTGTGCTCCTCAGAGTCCCAGCAGGAGGCCAGTCCCTGTGCTCCTCAGAGTCCCAGCAGGAGGCCAGTCCCTGTGCTCCTCAGAGTCCGAGTTGGTTCATATAGCACTAACTTGTCACAGATGTACTATGGTGTGAGGTCACGGAGAGATTTGTAACACGCAGAGCTGCTTTAAAGTCTACTTTAAAGTCACAGGAAGCAGAGACCTGAGAACCCGACTGATGTGATCGTACTTCCAGGTTCTAATCTGGATTTGAGCTGCAGCGTTTTTTAATTTACAGCCCGTTTGGAAAAACGTTGAGATGTTGATAAGTGAAAATAATCTCTTCTCTACGTACAGTTTATGATTTGCAGTAAGCCACAGAAAAACACACATTTTAATAAGATCATTTTCACCTTCAGCCAAGATATCTGTGCCTCAATTATACAAAAAAAGCAGATGTCAATGTGTCTACAAAAGAACTGGAAATAGAACATTTTGATCATTTTTGTTATGAAATTATAATCCAGGCTGAGGAATAAACCGCTCATCTTCTTTTTAAGATCTTCCTTCATTTCCCCAGGACACCTTTCACTCCCTCTCTTCTCACTGCGTGTTTTGGATTGTTCCCCACCCGCTGTTGAATAATTAAGATGCAATAAATCCCACTGTGGCAGGATTTTCCAAACGCTGTGGACTTTAGCTTTGTGTTGGAGCACCGATGCTGAGGCGCTGCACATGGCTATCTCCCATTTCCACCACGACTTTTCAAGCAGCAGATTTTTACCATTATTGAGGTTTTGCAGAAATTCTTCTATGGCACATGAAAAAAACCCAGCACACAAAGCCAGGCAAGTCCACACAGAGAGGATGGGACGACGAAATGATGTGTTTTTGATTCTGGTACCTCGCAGGGATAAGGGTTTTCTCTCTGCACTTGACCAACCACTGATGAGCGGTGAGCAAATGTTTAAAACATTTACTAAAAAGGTGTGTTTATGCTATAGAATGTATGATGAGAAATGTACTGAGTGTGTTGTTATCTGAATGTAGGTTGTGTTAACGACATGTGACTGAGTATGTGTTGTGCATGTGTGATGCTGTGAGTGAGGTGTGGTTCTAACAAACAGGTACAAGGCTAAGTGTGTGTGTGTGAGTCTGTATCAGAGAAATGTGTGTGCGTGAGTCTGTATCAGAGAAATGTGTGTGTGTGTGTGTGTGTGTGTGTGTATCAGAGAAATGTGTGTGTGTGTGAGTCTATATCAGAGAGAGTGTGCTGTAATGGTAAGATGGTATTACTATTGGGTTGTACTTTACTGTATCCATGTATCTTCTTGATGTAACCATGGACTGCAGATAGAAACTAACTGTTTATCTAAATCTTGTGCAGAACATATCCGTCTTGGACCTAATGTGTTCATTTTCCCTTCAAATAATGACTGAATAAAATAAATAGAATACTCTTCTTCTCAGTTGGAGGGCAGGTGCTAATACACCCCAATTCTTTCGCCACATGCTGAAAGACAACGTTTTTTCCCAGTTATTTGACAGCGATCATTGTTCTGACAAATACTTTCAACTGGCCAACTGTTTTTGAAAATATTCACCACTTCAAGCCTGGCCGTAGCCATAGGTCTGATCCTAGTGGCTGCTGCTACCTCGGTTGAATCCCCTCCGACCAATCAGAAAGCGCGGGAGGCGGGTGTTGTAGGTGGCTGTCATTACGTCAAGAGTTTGCACCGAATTTGCCGGTTGTAGTTTGGAGACGAATGCGATTGTAAAGTAATCCGTTCTGGTTCGGCGCCATATATCAAGTATCATTAGATAAAAAACAGTCCGCTGTGTTAGGTCTTGGTTCTAAAGTTTTTATGCATAACTGTAACATGTTTTAATACACATTGAACCAGGCCCTCGGCGGCTTATAGCAAATATATATTTTTGGCCTCTGATGTATTTGACTTTACCATCCCTGTTCGAATCAAAGTCAATCAAACTAAACTGAGCCTTAACGTCCAATCTCAACGTTTACTCTGAAACAGTATCAAATCAATACGCTTTACTAATTAGACCAAGCGTCGTCAATAATACGCAGTCGCGACGCTGTGTTCTGCGTCTGTTCCCTGGAGATAGTGAAGGATTAGTGTTTGGATGTTGGAGCCGAGAGGAGTGAGGTTTCTGAGGACTTTCGGTTTAGTGCTCGGCCACAGCAGCAGTTATTCTCCACAGCTCAAAGAAAGATTGCTGGATATTTTGTGTGTCTTTTTTCTCAAGTGTTTGTCGCAGAGATAAACTATTGGTTCGTATCAAGCAGCGAGGTTTATGTCTGAGGGAAAAGGACCTCAAACATAAACTGGACTACAGTCTGGACCTCTAACATAAACAGGACTACAGTCTGGACCTCAAACATCCACAGGACTACAGTCTGGACCTCAAACATCCACAGGACTACAGTCTGGACCTCAAACATCCACAGGACTACAGTCTGGACCTCAAACATCCACAGGACTACAGTCTGGACCTCAAACATCCACAGGTCTACAGTCTGGACCTCAAACATCCATAGGTCTACAGTCTGGACCTCAAACATCCACAGGACTACAGTCTGGACCTCAAACATCCACAGGTCTACAGTCTGGACCTCAAACATCCACAGGTCTACAGTCTGGACCTCAAACATCCACAGGACTACAGTCTGGACCTCAAACATCCGCAGGTCTACAGTCTGGACCTCAAACATCCACAGGACTACAGTCTGGACCTCAAACATACACAGGTCTACAGTCTGGACCTCAAACATCCACAGGACTACAGTCTGGACCTCAAACATCCGCAGGTCTACAGTCTGGAACTCAAACATCCACAGGACTACAGTCTGGACCTCAAACATACACAGGTCTACAGTCTGGACCTCAAACATCCACAGGACTACAGTCTGGACCTCAAACATCCACAGGTCTACAGTCTGGACCTCAAACATCCACAGGTCTACAGTCTGGACCTCAAACATCCACAGGACTACAGTCTGGACCTCAAACATCCACAGGTCTACAGTCTGGACCTCAAACATCCACAGGTCTACAGTCTGGACCTCAAACATCCACAGGTCTACAGTCTGGATCTCAAACATCCACAGGACTACAGTCTGGACCTCAAACATCCACAGGACTACAGTCTGGACCTCAAACATCCACAGGACTACAGTCTGGACCTCAAACATCCACAGGTCTACAGTCTGGACCTCAAACATCCACAGGTCTACAGTCTGGACCTCAAACATCCACAGGACTACAGTCTGGACCTCAAACATCCACAGGTCTACAGTCTGGACCTCAAACATCCACAGGTCTACAGTCTGGACCTCAAACATCCACAGGACTACAGTCTGGACCTCAAACATCCGCAGGTCTACAGTCTGGACCTCAAACATCCACAGGACTACAGTCTGGACCTCAAACATACACAGGTCTACAGTCTGGACCTCAAACATCCACAGGACTACAGTCTGGACCTCAAACATCCACAGGTCTACAGTCTGGACCTCAAACATCCACAGGTCTACAGTCTGGACCTCAAACATCCACAGGACTACAGTCTGGACCTCAAACATCCACAGGTCTACAGTCTGGACCTCAAACATCCACAGGTCTACAGTCTGGACCTCAAACATCCACAGGTCTACAGTCTGGATCTCAAACATCCACAGGACTACAGTCTGGACCTCAAACATCCACAGGACTACAGTCTGGACCTCAAACATCCACAGGACTACAGTCTGGACCTCAAACATCCACAGGTCTACAGTCTGGACCTCAAACATCCACAGGTCTACAGTCTGGACCTCAAACATCCACAGGACTACAGTCTGGACCTCAAACATCCACAGGTCTACAGTCTGGACCTCAAACATCCACAGGTCTACAGTCTGGACCTCAAACATCCGCAGGACTACAGTCTGGATCTCAAACATCCACAGGACTACAGTCTGGACCTCAAACATCCACAAGACTACAGTCTGGACCTCAAAAATCCACAAGACTACAGTCTGGACCTCAAACATACACAGGACTGCAGTCTGGACCTCAAACATCCACAGGTCTACAGTCTGGACCTCAAACATACACAGGACTGCAGTCTGGACCTCAAACATCCACAGGTCTACAGTCTGGACCTCAAACATACACAGGACTGCAGTCTGGACCTCAAACATCCACAGGACTACAGTCTGGACCTCTAACATACACAGGACTGCAGTCTGGACCTCAAACATCCACAGGACTACAGTCTGGACCTCTAACATCCACAGGTCTACAGTCTGGACCTCAAACATCCACAGGACTACAGTCTGGACCTCTAACATACACAGGACTGCAGTCTGGACCTCAAACATCCACAGGACTACAGTCTGGACCTCAAACGTCCACAGGTCTACAGTCTGGACCTCAAACATCCACAGGACTACAGTCTGGACCTCTAACATAAACAGGACTGCAGTCTGGACCTCAAACATCCGCAGGTCTACAGTCTGGACCTCAAACATCCACAGGACTACAGTCTGGACCTCAAACATCCACAGGTCTACAGTCTGGACCTCAAACATCCACAGGACTACAGTCTGGACCTCAAACATCCACAGGTCTACAGTCTGGACCTCAAACATCCACAGGACTACAGTCTGGACCTCAAACATCCACAGGTCTACAGTCTGGACCTCAAACATCCACAGGACTACAGTCTGGACCTCAAACATCCACAGGTCTACAGTCTGGACCTCAAACATCCACAGGTCTACAGTCTGGACCTCAAACATCCACAGGTCTACAGTCTGGACCTCAAACATCCACAGGACTACAGTCTGGACCTCAAACATCCACAGGTCTACAGTCTGGACCTCAAACATCCACAGGTCTACAGTCTGGACCTCAAACATCCACAGGACTACAGTCTGGACCTCTAACATAAACAGGACTACAGTCTGGACCTCAAACATCCACAAGTCTACAGTCTGGACCTCAAACATCCACAGGACTACAGTCTGGACCTGAAACATCCACAGGACTACAGTCTGGACCTCAAACATCCACAGGTCTACAGTCTGGACCTCAAACATCCACAGGACTACAGTCTGGACCTCAAACATCCACAGGTCTACAGTCTGGACCTCAAACATCCACAGGACTACAGTCTGGACCTCAAACATCCACAGGACTACAGTCTGGACCTCAAACATCCACAGGACTACAGTCTGGACCTCTAACATCCACAGGTCTACAGTCTGGACCTCAAACATCCACAGGACTACAGTCTGGACCTCAAACATCCACAGGACTACAGTCTGGACCTCAAACATCCACAGGACCTCAGTCTGGACCTCAAACATCCACAGGACTACAGTCTGGACCTCAAACATCCACAGGTCTACAGTCTGGACCTCAAACATCCACAGGTCTACAGTCTGGACCTCAAACATCCACAGGACTACAGTCTGGACCTCAAACATCCACAGGACTACAGTCTGGACCTCAAACATCCACAGGACCTCAGTCTGGACCTCAAACATCCACAGGTCTACAGTCTGGACCTCAAACATCCACAGGACTACAGTCTGGACCTCAACATCCACAGGATACAGTCTGGACCTCAAACATCCACAGGTCTACAGTCTGGACCTCAAACATCCACAGGACTACAGTCTGGACCTCAAACATCCACAGGTCTACAGTCTGGACCTCAAACATCCACAGGTCTACAGTCTGGACCTCAAACATCCACAGGACTACAGTCTGGACCTCAAACATCCACAGGACTACAGTCTGGACCTCAAACATCCACAGGACCTCAGTCTGGACCTCAAACATCCACAGGACTACAGTCTGGACCTCAAACATCCACAGGTCTACAGTCTGGACCTCAAACATCCACAGGACTACAGTCTGGACCTCAACATCCACAGGACTACAGTTTGGACCTCAAACATCCACAGGTCTACAGTCTGGACCTCAAACATCCACAGGACTACAGTCTGGACCTCAAACATCCACAGGTCTACAGTCTGGACCTCAAACATCCACAGGACTACAGTCTGGACCTCAAACATCCACAGGTCTACAGTCTGGACCTCAAACATCCACAGGACTACAGTCTGGACCTCAAACATCCACAGGTCTACAGTCTGGACCTCAAACATCCACGGGACTACAGTCTGGACCTCAAACATCCACGGGACTACAGTCTGGACCTCAAACATCCACAGGACTACAGTCTGGACCTCTAACATCCACAGGTCTACAGTCTGGACCTCAAACATCCACAGGTCTACAGTCTGGACCTCAAACATCCACAAGACTACAGTCTGGACCTCAAAAATCCACAAGACTACAGTCTGGACCTCAAACATCCACAGGACCTCAGTCTGGACCTCAAACATCCACAGGACTACAGTCTGGACCTCTAACATACACAGGACTGCAGTCTGGACCTCAAACATCCACAGGACTACAGTCTGGACCTCAAACATCCACAGGACCTCAGTCTGGGTGTGGTGACACAGTTGTTAGTGCGTGGGTAGACATTAGAATACATAGAAAATATACAAGATTGTTACAATACACCTGATAATGAACTGAAGAATAGAATTGAAAATGCACAGAATTACTTTTCTGAGGTCTCCATGGAGAAAAGTACTATTCTACTCTACTCTACTATCCTAACCTCTACTCTACTCTACTCTACTCTACTCTACTCTACTCTACTATCCTAACCTCTACTCTACTCTACTCTACACACCTCTTCTCTACTCTACACACCTCTTCTCTACTCTACTCTCTCTACTCTACTCCACACACCTCTACTCTACTCTACTCTACTCTACTCTACTCTACTCTACTCTACTATCCTAACCTCTTCTCTTCCCTACCACAATTACGCTGACGACACTCAGATCTATGTCTCACTGACTGCAGGAGAACATGGACCAGTGGACTCACTCCTTCACTGTATCCAACAGATCAGTGAGTGGATGCAAAACAACTTCCTTCAGCTAAACGCAGACAAAACTGAAATGATTGTCTTTGGTCCCAAGAAACAAAGAGAGAGCGTCATTTATCACCTTCAGTCTCTCTCCCTAAGGCCTTTAAATAAGGTCAGAAATGTGGGAGTAATAATGGACTCTGACTTAAACTTCAATAGCCACATTGGATCGGTAACATCAGCAGCTTTTTACCATCTGAAAAACCTTGCCAGGATCAAAAACATAGTGTCTAAAGCCTAGCGTACATCGGACTGGCAACTGATTATATCCGTCGCATACGAGTTGCTGCCCCGCACACATCGACAATCTGACGAAAACGGGCAACTCCCAGTAGCAGACCAGTCTCGGGAATAACAGCGCGTACATCGACAGCAACTGGCCTCAACTACAGTGTGTTTTCTGACATAAACTGTTGCGGGCTCGCAATACACGCAATACACACACGTTGTCTGTGAGGCGCTTTGTGTTGCCCTGTGCAGGAAAAGCGCCCTATAAATAAAGATTGATTGATTGATTGATTGATACTCTACTCTACACTACACTCCTCTACTCTACTCTACTCTACTCTACTCTACACTCATCTACTCTACTCTACTCTACTCTACACTCCTCTACTCTACTCTACTCTACTCTAAACTCCTCTACTCTACTCTACTCTCCTAACCACTACTCTACTCTACTCTACTCTACACATACAGTCATTATTGCAGTTGACATATTTGTATTTGACGGTTGTGAACTAACCCGTCCGAGAGTGTTTCAGTGGTTGTACTGTGTGTGATCAGGCATCAGGCCACTTCCTCCTCTGTCTCTGTGTGTCTCCAGCACAACATCAGACTAAGATCATTCATCTCCAAAGAAAAAAAACATCCTCCAGGCGTCTCCCCAGACCTGCCAAATACTGTCACACTTTTAAACGCCCTCGTAGACCCGCAGGAGCTTCCACGCCTTCAAATCCTCCAAATACATCAACAACAAAATAAATACTTTTGCTCAGAGTGAATTCTATAGATATCTGTGTGTCGTTCAAGTGTCTGTGTGTGAACTGAGAAGCTAGATTTGTTTGTATGCATCCCTGTTTGATTCTGGATAAAACTGCAGCTAAATAGTGGTGGTGTAAAAAAACAAACGAAAAGGAAAAGGGTCTCTATGTGTGGAATTTAACTGTATTATTACTTTTGTTGACTTTGTGAAGAAATTAAAGTTATCTGAAGTTACTGTTATTTTCATTGTTATATTTTGTGGAACTATGCAAGCTACTGTGACAAAGCAATTGCCCTTGTGGATCAATAAAGTCTGTCTAAGTCATAGTGAAAGCTGTTTGGTCATGTACTTACATCGTGCCTCCCTCTCTTGTTTTTCAGTCCATCATCGTGAGACTGTGGCATGACATGGCTATAATCTGGTAAGTAGCATCCAAGTCCAATTCTAACGTTAAGCCTCAGTGAGCCTGACATGTTATTTTAGGCCTGGCAAATGGTTCTACGGTGAAATACTCCTAATCTCAAACATTGTGTCACACTTGGCAATAACCAAAAACACTGCAGACTTTGTTTCTGTGGTTGTGTCATTCCACTTCCGTCATCCATCCATCCATCCATTTTCTTCCCCTTAACCCATTTCTGGGTCTGGAGATGGCAGTCAGAGCTGCACCCAGGTCACATAGTACCCCGGCCTCTCACTGACCCTCCTGCAGGTGGTGCTGTGCAGCAACACAGATAAGTGCAATATCAGAAACATTGCTAGAAGTTGTTTTTTAAATGGTCAATCTTTACAGTCAAGTCCTCTGTTAACAAATCCTTTTTTATTCCTCTTTATCCATTGCAGGCTCATAACCGTCTCCAGCTCCATCCGAACGCCTTGATGTGGAGAGCAGCAGCTCCACTCCAAGCTCCTCCTTTTAGAATGACTTACTTATTTGTTTTGTTTCTTTGGATGGATGTGTTTCTGCTGCGACTGGACATCTGCATTTCTCCGACACGGATCAATAAAGTATCTATCTATCTATATTTATTTAACAGGATTAATTAAAGGTTAGCCTAAATACTACACAATGTTGTCAGATAAAACATCCATAATACTAATGCAAACCTGGTAGTGTGTGTGGCCTTTTCATGTTGGCCAGTTTACCACAGAGGCCTCTCCCCTCAGGCGCAGACACAGGCTCCATGGAACTCGAGCAGGCAAAAGCGTTGTAATTGTTTATCGATCTATTTCAATACGCACAGAGCTCATCTGCGAACAGCAACTTATTCTACTGAAGACAAACATGACGGGAGCAGGGGGTGACGACTCCATTGGTGCTGGCAAACACACACAAACAAAAGCCTCCAAGGACCGTGGCGAGGTGATGTACGTGTTCGCACCTGTGTCTGTAATTTTCCCATTTGCCTGTTCGTAAAACTGGAAAAAGACTATTCTGTCTATAATCGTGTCAAACTTGACTGAGTATTTCTTGATGGAATGTGCGGCGTTCGGAGAAAAGGCTGAGAAATCTTGTCAGGTTAACGCTGACTTTCAACACAGGTAAGAGGGGATGTAGTCACCATGGTAACGCCATCGGAATGAAAGGGGCGCAGAAGGAGAATGTGATGTTTGACTGGATGAGTTTTGTAGTGTCTTTGTTGAAACGTGAGGTTTTGGACAAATCCGTAAGCAACTGTAAAATACAAGAGGTCAATCTTTAAACCATCACCAATCATTAAAGGGAACGTCTGCGCATTCAGATGGGTTATGACCTTGTAGATAGATAGATCTACAAGGGGGGGGGCGGCACGGTGGCTGAGTGGATAGCACTCTCGCCTCTCAGCAAGAAGGTCCTGGGTTCGAATCCCGGTCGGACCAGGGCCTTTCTGAGTGGAGTTTGCATGTTCTCCCCGTGTCTGCGTAGGTTTCCTCCGGGTACTCTGGTTTCCCCTACCACTAAAAATATGTCCAATAGTTCTAGCATGCGCCTCCTGTACTGGCCCCGCTCCCATCTCTGTGTGGAGTGAGAGACTAATGCCCAAAATTAACAATTGTAAACCGCTTTGAGACTCAGATCTGAAGTGAAAAGGCGGTATATAAATAAAGATTACTACTACTACTACTACTACTACTAGATACTTTATTGATCCCCGTCGGAGAAATTCAGGTGTCCAGTAGCAGCAAAAATAAAAACTAAAATTGATCATTCTAAAAAGCTAACAATAGTAAAAATCAGCAACAGCCCTTCAGGTCACAGCAGCAGAGGTGGAGTAGCCTCTGGGTGGAGCAGGACGGGTCACAGCAGCAGAGGTGGAGTAGCCTCTGGGTGGAGCAGGACGGGTCACAGCAGCAGAGGTGGAGTAGCCTCTGGGTGAAGCAGGACGGGTCACAGCAGCAGAGGTGGAGTAGTCTCAAGGTGGAGCAGGACGGGTCACAGCAGCAGAGGTGGAGTAGCCTCTGGGTGAAGCAGGACGGGTCACAGCAGCAGAGGTGGAGTAGTCTCAAGGTGGAGCAGGACGGGTCACAGCAGCAGAGGTGGAGTAGCATCTGGGAGGAGCAGAACAGGTCACAAGGTGGAGTAGCCGCTTGGTTCGGACCATTTTCTCTGCTCTGGTCCAAAGTAAAATGATGAATGCTTCATTAGCATTTTTCTATCTAAATCAGGGGTGTTCAGACGTTTTTGTTCTAGGGCCACTTTTGTTCACGAGACTTGTCCTGGGACCGACAGCCTGGAAGCAAAAAACTGTTTTGAACTTTAAATTAAGGTTGACGTTATATACAAAAAAAAGACATAACACATATATATATATCTAGTTGTAAAGCTTGTTTACAGCAAGATACATGGTAGAGCTGAAGTTGGCTGTATGACACTGTGACCTGTTGTCAATGATATTGTGTGTTAGCGAGGCAGAGGGCCAGAGAACATGACACAGAGGACCGCATTTGGCCCGCGGGCCTGAGTTTGGACATGCCTGATCTAAGTATTTTTATAACAATATCTATTTAAAACAGTCTCTTTTGCATAAACTTCACCAGTTAGATTTTCTAGAAATCAGGACAATTATAATGAAAACTATTATTATTATTATTATTATTATACACTTTATGTATATTGCACCTTTCTGGGCACTGAAAAATGGCCTCACAAAAGATTCAAAGTTAAAAGCAGAAAACTGTTAAAGCCTACAGTAAAAATCAATGTTATTTGTATGGCCCAAAATCCCAGTTGTCTGGAGGGACGCCACAGAACCGCACTGGGAAAATCCCTTGAAAAAGCA